CTTGAAGCTTTGCCGGTGAGGTTGAGGAGCACGCCGTTCCCCCTTGCTCAGCCTTGTAGAGTGAGGGGCTGAATACCCACCTCTGGAGAGGAGGGAAGGAGGCAGGAAAGGATTGTAGAGGGAGGGAGGAGAGAAGGAAGGCAGGCTTGGTGGGCGGGGCAGGGGAAGGATATACTGCAAAATCCCCCTTCCCTCCCCATCCCCCTAACCTACTTTCCAGCTCCGTTCTCCTGTGCAGGGCAACCAAAGGAGACCCAGCCGATCAGCTGGGACTCAATGGGAGGCAGAGAAGAGATGGGGTTGGCGGGGCCAGTCAGAGGTGGGATTGGCCGGTTCTCCGGACTACTCAAAATTTCTGCTACCGGTTCTCCAGAACCGGTCAGAACCGGCTGAATACTCACCTCTGATCATGTGCCAATATGACTAATAAAACAGAACTTTTGAGGAAATGTTTGTCTCGGAGCTTTATTAGTTTGGAGTTGGTTAGTTGGAATGCTGACGTTCCCCCGAATCTTATCTACACCGTTTTTACTTCAGGGATGATTTATCCAGGGCAGCCTTGGAAACATGGAGACCCTTTTCCTGGTGGCCCTGCAGAGGGTGCTGATCTAATAAGAGAGTTTCGTCTTATACCGTTGTTCCTACGGTCACTTTGCAGGCATTTAGGGAGGAGCTCCAAGAGTGTCCGTTCTCTCCCAGGGGCGGGAAAAAAAAAAGATTTTGCAGATAAAATTTTGCGAATAAAATTTGTTTTATTTTCCTAATTTTATTTTTTTGGGGGACCTCGTTCCCCTTGGGAATATGAATGAAGAAGCAGGGGGAGCTTCTTTTTTTTTAAATGCAAGGTGGGGAAAAATAAATAATCATTTCAGGAGCGAGCAATGCCAAATTGGCTCCATTTGTTTCCTCCTTCAGCCCAGGGCAGAGGCTCGCTCCCTCTGTTGAACTTTGCAGTTATTCAAATGCAGGCAAAATGTATTTCCCCTTTTTTAAATCCTTAATGCATCATTATGTATTTTCATCTTCGTTATATGTTATCTTCTCATGAAGTCAGGTCTGCAATTTACTCATCTATTAATTCATCATTCCAGCAATTCACACATTTTCAACATACTAAAAAAACCAACAAACCATACAACACCCCTATTTGCCAATTCCAAAGTGCCATCCCTGTGGCTAAACGTATCACATAATTAATCCCCCCTCCCCTAAGATAATTTAATTTTGAGTTAACACTTTAAAAAAGAAGAAAACATAATAATTTTCTAATAATTACTACATTACGTATATCTCTTTTAAATCTGCGTCTGCAAGTTCCCTTTCTCATTACCTAAAAATAAATACCTTTAAAAAATTATAGATAAAACAGACATAATTAATCCCATCGTTTCATAAGTAGTAATATTGATCAAACAATGTATTGGAAAAAATTATAAAATAAGATGGGAAAAGCTTGATGATTAAAATTAAAGAAAATATATAAAGTAAGTTTCAGATAAGTTACCAAATGTGAAAGATGAATGTGAAATGTAAGTCAAGTTTGAATCATGTTGTTCACACTGAAAAAAAATATATTTTTTTCTCTCTCTCATACGTAAAAATTGAATAAAACTTTTGCAAAAAAAATTATTTCCTCTTTTTTGGAGAATGTTTTTCTTTCCCACCCCCAAACTGGAAGAGTCAACTGCATAATTCCAGCTAATGTGTAGCTGTAGAAGCACCTGTCAATTTCTCTGTTGTCTCTTTTCTTTCCATATCTTTGTCCTGTTTTCTCTTCTGCTCTCTCTCTCTCTCTCTCTCTCTCTCTCTGTGTGTGTGTGTGTGTGTGTGTGTGTGTGTGTGTGTGTATATATATATATATATATATATATATATATATATTCTTAAGTTTTC